AAACTAAACTTCCAGTTTAGCGAAGTGGTGTCACAGGGTGTGTGCGCTTTAAACCGAAATGAATAAATGACTATGACCCAGTGGACTTAACCCTTAACCTCCTTTCCTCCCTCGTGATGCCTGTTCACTAAACCAGTCTCTCTTGTCTGCTTCCGTTTTCTCCCTTTAGGCAAAGAGTTTCCCAACTCGTTCGAGTCGTTGGTAAAGAAGATCTGCCGGTACCTGTTCCACGTGCTGGCTCACCTCTACTGGGCGCACTTTAAGGAGACGGTGGCTCTGGACCTGCACGGCCACTTGAACACTCTGTATGCACATTTCATCGTTTTCGTAAGGGAGTTCAACCTGATCGACCCCAAGGAGACCTGTATCATGGACGACTTGTCCGAAATCCTCTGCAGCCCCGTACCCTCCCCGGCCCCTTCCTCCGCAGCCCCAGCCCCCTCCCCGTCTTCACAAAACCACGTGACGGAGAGATGAGCAGGGGTCGAGACGGCGGCCCAGGGGGGTGATGGAAGAAAAAAGAGGAGAGGAGGAAAAGAAAAACCCACGGCCCAGCCCCCTTCCTCGGTGCAAGCAGGACTTCTGAAACCTTCCACTACCCTTAGATTTCGCTACGACACCAACAATCCAGCTGGAAGAAAAACGCCGGGGACGGTTTTAAGCGGGGGGGGGAGGGGTTTAAGGTTGCGGGGAGGGGTTTGTCACGCCAGCAGGAATTGGCGTGAGCGTTCCTCCCAGGGACAAATCCCTCCCATCTTCTCTGCGATCTAAACTAGGAACAAAAATCTGTGTATATTTTATTTTTTTGGTTTATATTTTCCTCTTTTATTTTTGTTGAAAATTTTACTCAGTTTTATTTTGTTGTTGGAGCAGGGTGCTGTGTTTGGACCCACCTCCACCTGTCCTTTGCCTAGTATACAGTACAGGAAAGGGTGGCGGGAAGGGGGGACTGCTTTGCTTCAACCTGCTATGTGTACAGTGTTGTGTGGATGATGCTCACCTGTAGGCACTTCTTCCCCCTGGTCTGGGTGGGGGGGCTGCTATGTTTAGGAGGCGGCCATGTTACTGCCCGATGGGGCAAGGCTAGCCAATCACTGTTTGGGTTCTTTATCTGGAGGGAGGGGGTTATGAAGGCGCTTTCTACTCAGGATCTGAGAGAATCAGACACTGCTGCCAGAGAGGAGCCCCTCATTCATTCTGTCCTTTTTCTTTCCCTATTAGACTCCCTCCTATGACAAACGTTTATACCCCCCAAAAAAACACCTGGATGAATCCCTGACGAGCGTGTCCCAGATCCTACCTATAGAGGGCAGCAAACATGCAGAGGAAGCCCCAGACACACAGCGGCTAAATCTAAAGATTGTACACTAGATGTAAAATCTTTATCAGAGGGAGAATACTTGGAGGCAGACTGGTTGCCCATTTAGGGCGATTCCCAGCTGCTTGCTGGTGACGAGCCCAGCGGCACCACCCACTCCAGCAGCACAGGAGGACAAAGACATGAGGTCATGTCTGCAGGCTCGGAGAGGCGAGCATGATGACGGATAGGAGGGGTGGGAAGGATGGTGCGCTGCTGCGTAAACACTCACCTATACTTCCAGCTCAGAGCTTAAAAAAAAAACAAAATATAGCTTTTATTTTTCGCCTCTCCCTTTAAATTGCTTTTTTTTTAGAGGGAAAAAAAGCTTATCAGGAGAAAATTAGTTTGGGTATAGAAAACGGCAGAAGTCTGCTTGGATTTAACTGCGCAAAAAATCCCTAGCGGCTTCTGTCAGATATAGCCTCTGTTTGGAGGAGGATTGGATTTTTCTCCATTTTAATTTATTTTTAAATTTCTCTCTTTTTTTGCAGGGTTCCTCAGTTCTGGCTCATTTTTATGTATTTTAATTATTAACTAAGTTAAAAGCAATTTAATATTTTAAGCTCTGCGGATCATAATCTAATAAAAGAGAGAGATGCAACCTGCCTCTGGGTCTTATTATTCTGGATAAACTTGTTTAACGTATTACACACAAAAAGGTTTATTAATAAAAAAAATAAAAAATAGTTTCCAAAGTTCTGCATTAGTTTTGAGCTTTGGAAACTTTCAGAACAATTTATCAAACCAAAATGAAGAATACCCAAAATCATGTCTGCCATGAACCCGCCAGGGTGTCTACATGTGGTAAAGATGACTTGCTGGAATTTGAACAAAGCATCAATTGGAGGAAATGAAGGTATTTGTTATTTTGAAGCTGGGCGGGATTGTCTGTGCGTAAACTGATCCCACTGGGATTTAGACACAACCATCACATTAACAGGGGGCCTGCAGCACTTTTGGCCTTTAATCCAGCAAACTAAAATTTGTTCAGCAAAACAGATGCTACAAAACCTTTACAGAAAAAGAGAAACTATGATTTGAAATTATTTCTTATTTAAAGATTCACTATTTCTGCTTGTATATAAAACCATAAAATGGGAAACAATGTAAAAAGATATATATATATATATATATATATATATATATATATATATATATATTTTTTTTTTTTTTTTTTTTTTTCCATCGAATTAGAAAACATAAACCCAATTGAGCATCTCTGCAGAGAACTGAAAATGGCTGTCACCAACACTTACGATCTAATCTGACAGAACTGGAGAGGATTTGCAAAGAAGAATGGCGGAGGATCCCCAAATCCAGGTGTGAAAACTGTCGCATCATTCTTAAGATTCATGGCTGAACCAGATCAAAAGGTGCTTCTACTCAATACTGAGCAAAGGGTCTGAATACTTATGACCATTTGATTTTTCAGTTTTTCTCTCAATAAATTTTCAAAAATGTCTACTTTTTGAGGTTTTTTTCTGTCATATTGGGGTGCTGATTGTACAGAAATACAATTAACTTTATTGATTATAGCAAATTGCTCCAATGAAACACAGAGTGAAAAAATGTAAAGGGGTCTGAACACTTTCCACAACCATTGTGTGTGTGTGTCTGTGTGTATATACACACATTTATATACTAGGTCTTCTGTTGTAGAAATGATTCAATTAAAAGAACAGCTAAAACCAGCATTTGTCTTTATAAAAACATTAGTTTTATCATTTTCACCTGTGATATTGAGCCAATGGGGAATCAGTAACTGACCCACTCTTCAGGATTATGAAAGATGCTCCAAGAAAGAGAAAATCCAGTAAGCAGCAATTATGAGGACAGAAACACCTAATGAGACTCGTTCAAGCTCACACCAGAACCATCAGTTCGTGCCTAATAAATTCACCACTGAGTGCGTGCATATGTTTGCATTTCTACTTTAAAAAGAAACAAATGCAAACATGTTTTAAAGTCTGAAAAGTGTGCAATTTTAACATGGAAAAACTATAAAACAGTCATGTTCATAATTCATTTGAAAACATCATCTGTATTTAACAAAGCCTTTTCCTATTCATCACTCAGAATATAAACAGAGTAATGGCGCCATCTGCTGGCACTTTATCGGTAACGCAGCACATCTCACCATGCTGATTCCCTTAACAGATTAAGCAAAAATAATAAAACCACAATAGAAAATGATTAGATAGAAAAACACTTTACTCTTCATATCATTTTCAGCAAGGCCATATATAACATTCTTTAATTCTTTAAATTAAACCTCTTTTGAATAATTTAACATGCATGCAACCACTCTTGGATTATAAAACAAACATTTCACTCTGGATACCAGGGCTCTAATTAACTGGATAGTTCAGAATCTTTGCAGCGGGGTTTCATTAAATGTTTTCACAGTTTATTGTTTTAGCAGCAATAGAACCCGTTTTCAATTATATTTCATTTTTTGCTTTCATTTGTAGCAAAGAAACGTTGTCTTTACTGGTTATGGAAATTCACTTAATTGTGTATTATTTTATCAAATATTTTAAGTTGCACCCTTTTTCTATTGATGGTGGTTTTGATTAGTTTGACCAAAACCACCTTTATAAAATATAACACTTAAAAACAAATATATTTCACAATTTATTTTGTTTTAAATATTACTGTCAGTGATGTTGCAATGCCTCCTGCATAAATAAAGCAGCTTCTGCACTTAAAAAAGTTTTCAGGGTATTTAAAAGTAGACATTTTAATTTTAATTAAGCATGTTAGCCTGGAAACAAATATTCAATAGAATGATTCAGTGTTTGACAATTAACATGTTAAATGTCTCTGGTCAGATGATACGATGGTAAAAGATTTTTGGACTGTATTCCTTGAATAATAATTTTCATCATTATTTTTAACCACCATTGGTTGACTTGTGAACCCATATCTGCCTCTGATTGACTAATCTATGTTCAGGTTTCCTCCCACAGAATTGGATTGATCCTAGAGAGCTGACTTTTTCAACATTTTAAATAACATTTCAGATTTTATGCCATCGGTGAAACATTTCCCCACACTGCAAAAAACATCTAGAAATATATATTTTTTTTAATTCTTAAATTCAGTGTATTTACACTTAATTTGAGCAGGTAAATAAGATGATCTGCCAATGGAATGAGTATTTTTACTCCTAAAATAAGATAATTAGATAATATACACTTGAATTAAGAAAAAGCAATTGTTTTTTTCTTATTTTAAATGTAAATTGTCTTGTTCTATTGGCAAAGTGTCTCACTTACCTACTCAATTCAAGTAAAAATGCACTTAATTTGGGCAAAAGTGACTTATTTAGATTTCCATTTTTTGCAGTGCATCTCTTTGGCTTTAATCTTTAAATAAATAATCCAGGATCACAGGTCAGGATTGTCTGTTGGAACCGAGCAACTGGCTTTCCCTTTTTCAATTAATGATCAGGCATGACTAGTGACATTTCACTATCTATTTCATGACATTACATTCATTTGCTATTTTAGACTTAGACAACGTTTGTCATTTTGTATACACAGAGTGTACAAAGTTACATTTATTTTCTACAGCTTAAGATAAACTGTGATAGTTTATCCTCTGAGGCTTGGATGTGGACTAATGGACACTTATTATCTTTGACTGCTCATCATTTACTGTAGCATTTTATTTAGTTTTAATCGTGAATAAATCATTGTACTGTCATATTCGTGAAAATCTGCTTGATTTAGTAAATGATGGGAAAGAGGTAAGAGATCCTTCAGTGTGGATCATTTATGAGAACATTCATTTATAAATATCTAATACAGATTAATGCAGCTCAGTTATGCTGCACAGAAGGTGTGTGTGCACTAAAACTGGAATTAGCACGGACCCATAATCTGGTTAAAAAGTTAATAAATACAAACTTTTAAATACAACCAGTTTTTGAAACTGGAGTTGCTTTCAGATTTTAGACCTCTACTTTTAGTTCCTCTCAGATAATCACTCTGGTTTCATAATAAACAGAGAATCGTTGGTTTTCTTTTCTTGCAGATTAAATGAATTTAACCTTTTTTTTTTCAGATCCCCAACAGAAGAAATAGTGAACTATCCCTTTAACAGTCAAAATCATTTCAGTGCTTTTCCATCGAACCTGAGTCAAACGCAGGTTTATGTGTGCCTACACTTTGTGCATGAGTCAAATCCATGTGTTTCAATAATCGATGCTCCTGATAGTGAAGCGGCTCCGTTTCAAACAGGGTGATTCACTTGCTCTCCATCCTGGACCTGCGCACCGTCCCAGCCGCCCTGCGCCTCCTCACGCACGGCCGCGCGGTGACGCTCTCGTTCAACTTCAGTCGCGCCACGCCGCCGGCCTCCTCCAGCTCCTTGGCGCTGCAGCAGGGTGTCGGTACCTTCACGGTGTTGCCAAACTTGGAGTAGTCCACTGCGTACATGCCGTCATCTTCAGAGACCGTCGGCACGAAGCGCTGACCCCACAGGATCTCCTCCGACACGTAGGAAGTCCTGGCCTGCGTGGTGATGCCGGTGGTCTCCACCACTCCTTCCAGCACCACGATAACCTCCAGGTCCTGATGCTGCAGGTCTTCTGGTGATAACTCGTACAGGGGGCTGGACTTGTCGATCACATGGCAGATGATGAGGGGAGACACCAGGAAGACGCCGTTGGTTCCCACCGGGTTATCCATGTGGATGTCGATCTGGTCCAGGGGAACCACTTCTCCCTCCTCCGTAGTGCTCCTCCTGACCACCTGCATCCGCACGGTGGCGCTGATGATCATACTTTTCCTAAGGTCTCCGATGCGGACCATAAAGCACAGCTTGCTGTTTCGGAGGGAGATGACTGCGTGCTTGCTGAAGATGAGCGTCTCGGCCCGCCTGTGGGCCTGCGCAGTTTTCATGAAGATGCAGCCCAGCATGATTGCGTTGATGACCAACCCGACGATGTTCTGCACTATGAGGATGATGATGGCCGACACGCACTCCTCCGTGATCATTCGACCCCCGAACCCAATGGTCACCTGGACCTCTATGGAGAAGAGGAAAGCGGAGGAGAACGAGTGGATGTCCGTTACGCACGGGATGAAATCATCCCCCCTCTGATCCAGGTCTCCGTGCGCAAAAGCCACGAGCCACCAAATCATCCCGAACAGGAGCCAGCTGCATAGGAAGGACATGGTGAAAATAATGAGGGTGTGGAGCCATTTTAAATCCACTAAAGTTGTGAACACATCCTGTAAGAACCGACCCTGTTCTCTGATGTTGGTGTGCGCAACATTGCAAGTGCCGTTTTTCCCCACAAAGCGAGCCTTCCTTTGCTTGGCCTTAAACTTCGGGGGCAGAACATCCTCAGCTAACCGCGTCAGCAAGTAATCCTCAGGAATGAGTCCCTTCCTGGACAACATCGCACTCCCATGCTATGTACCCACAACCTCCAGGCTCGGTGTGCGGTCTGCGCCCGGATCTCGGATGGACTCGTTCCCTCCTCCTCCGCGCAGGAAGAAGAGCCTTTATGTCAGCTATGTTCTGGAGGTTTGCGCGCTCCTCACGTTGCCTCCGGATCAGGCGCTTCAGGACTGGGCGATCCCATGAGAAGACTCTCCCTCCAAACTCCACAGCTGCCGCCGTCACTCACAGAACCGAGCGACTGAGCGGACATCGCTGGGCCACGCCGCGCAGTCTCATCCCGCTCACCTATGCGTCGGTGCGCTCTCGTGCGTAAAGGCGATTCCGGGGTTAATAATCTCGAACAGAGATTATTGAGCGGCGTTTTGGTCACATTTGGAGTAGGAGGTAGGCTCATGTGTCAAAGCTGGTTGTGTGATGACCTCGCCACTCCACTATAGCTCGGTAATGTGAGATGGAGCGAGGAGATGCAGTCCCTCCCCCACCCTCCGCCTTATTCTATTGGTCTTTTTTTTAATAGTGCCTTTTAAACCCTAATCGCGCTCATAGAACACATTCCTATTATACAGGAATTGGTTTCATTTACTCACCGCAAACAGAACCCAACTTAAAGCCGTAGTGTGTCAATTATATCCCTCATAGGGTCTCTGCTGCTGGCTTAAAGGCAACAACACGCCCACTTTCTTTTTCTGCAAAACGGTGCAACAAAAGCGCAGGAATGAGGATCTAACAGATATCCCCTGGGAAGCTCATAAAATCATTTGCACATCTAAAAATGACTATAGCCTATTTTATAGGCTTTTATAGAACAACATTTAGTAGGTACATAAACAGTGATTTTCAGTTTTTTTTCCTCCAGTTTCAGAAGGCATTGGGTATTAACATGTATTGATTATCTTTACACTACCTAAACAGACCACACAATATATTAACATGTGCCACTCTACCAAGGCTTCAGTTATAAGTTAACAGAAACTCTGCAGAACAGAGTGGCATCACATGCAATTAATTTATTAAACAAAGAAAATTTGCCAATACTATTTCTGTTGAACCAAATCACCTCAGGTCAGTGGCGGTTCTAGACCCAATTATATGGGGGGTTATTCATGGGGGCTCAGAACAAAAAAAGAAGGCAATCATTTATTTTTTTATATATTAAGTCAGATGCAGATTGTAAAAGCCATGTGCGACTCTGAAGAAATGGCAGATAAAATGGAGGGGTGGGAAACCGATTTATTGGTCATGATTTTCTTAATATTGGGAGGTTTGTGATTGGCAGATATGTAAAACCAATTGTAGCCGCTGATGTCAATGCTGTAAATTTTTCATTTATATTTTCAAGCATCATCCTGTAAATTTTTCATTTATATTTTAAAGCATCATCCTGTAAATTTTTCATTTATCTTTTAAAGCATCATCTTGTGCAGTTAAAATTATTTTTTTTTTATTGTTTTACATGTGTATTTCCCAATAAAATGAGACTTAAACATTCAGTGTGTGCTGGGATTTTACAACAGCTGTTATGAAATATCAGCATCAGTCAAAATTGAAATTAGCATATCCATCCATCATCTTAGGCTTAGCTTAGTCCTTGTCAGGGTGGGGCTGGTGCAGGTGCGGGTGCTTGTGCCGTATCTTCGGGAGTCTATGGGTGAGAGGCGGGTTACATCCTGGACAGGTTGCAATAGAGAAGCCAATTAACCTAACAGTCATGGTTTTGAACTGTGGGAGAGAGCAGGTGTACCCAAAGAGAACCCATGCATGCAAACTCCATGCAGTTATTAAACACAGAACCTTCTTGCTGCAAAGCAAGAGCACTACCCACTGCAGCACAGTGCAGCCCAAACTTGAATATCATGCTTTTGAAAGATCAGTCCTCGGCCAGAAAACAATAATTGGTGGACAGAAAAAAACTGTCACAAAATCTCCATACAACAAAGCTAAAAGTGCAACACCTTCCTTTTTAAATAATTTTAGAAATAAATGTGTAAAGGTGGAAAAAAAAGAAATAGATCGAAGTAACCAATCAGTTATGGTTTCTGTGTCAGTGCATATAATTAAATTAGATTATTTTATTCGTCATTACATATTGAGCACAGGGGCACTGTCCCCACCTGGCCCCTGTGTAGGACCACCCATGTCAATGGTGCAGATGGAGGAGCTAATTACACGTTAGCTAGTGTACTGAGAACAGTAAAGGAGGCAATTACTATGAGACTAATAGGGGGCTATTTAAAATACACTGCATCTTTGTGTGGAATTAAAAAAGAAAACAAATCAATAAATTAGTCTAAGTTAAAAAAAAATATTTTGTGTTTGTTTTGTGTAATGCGGAACATTAGTATTTTCTTTAACAGTTTCTTCAAATTGAGCTGAAGATGATTTTTGTAAAACCTGAAAAATTCAGATCAAAACATATTTTGATGATAATTTATGTTTTATTAACAAAGAATCAATTAGTTTATGTACAAATATAATACAGCATGATTAAAAAATAAAAGGAATATATTTATTCCATGGTACAATTGCACTTTGAATGTCTTCCTTTGATGCTTCCAAGGCTTTTCACTTCTCGTGCCGCTTCCTCTATTTGTCCGCTCGCACAAAGGAGGCGAAGACGCTGTCCTCCCGATTGAGCAGGGCCTCGGGTCTGTCGTACTCCAGGATGATCCCTCGCTTCATCACAATCACCAGGTCGGCGTTTAGGATGGTGTGGACTCGATGCTGCATGGGGGAGAGAGGAAGTAATTTACTGCAATGGGAAAACTCAAATAGACATCGGTCAAAGCTTCCTATACAACTGACTGTCAATCTTCTAAAACCTACATGCAGTGATATGATTATGCATAAGTCAGTGAGTTTCAACTAGAAACATAGCTGAACTTGGGTTAAGAATGTTAAACTTTGACAGATTGTGACCTTCATGTTTTGCAAAACCTTTATAAAGACAAAAAAAAAACATCAGGGAAGCTCCTTCATTTCTTTTGACCTAGTTTTTTCTCTTTCCATAATAATCAGCAGCAGGATATCTGCAGCCATTTAAGAGAAACACATTAGCAGAGCAAGATGAAGGTCAGCACTCTCAGGGGGAAATGTATAGCTGTTATATGTTGCTGCAGTGGTTGGAGGAGGAAGAGGAGGAGGATACTCACTGCTATAATCACTACTGTCCGGTCAGCAAAAGAAGTCATCACCACTTTCTGCAGGATGCTCTCCTGTGGGATGCAGAGGAAGAGGATGTTGGTTCAAAAATGCTCACTTTACACTTCGCCTTAAAAGATGTTTATGATTTAACTTCATGAATACAGAAAAAAAAACATGTTTCACTCTGTTCCCACTCCTGTTAATGTATGTGTATTAAAAGCTGACTCTTGTTTCCTCCAGGGCCTCACTGCCGTGTTATAAACTCAAACCGTAGCTGTTTGTGGGTAAACATTCAGGCGGACAACATCGGAATGTACAGAAACTTCCCTCAGGCTCTTATATGCACTTAGTGGATCTCTCTTTATTTCACTTTCTTTTAGCTTCATGCATATCCTCTCTGGCAGCTCTGCTTGCTTCTTACTCTCCTCTCTCTTAAAAGCACAGGTTTAGGCTGCAGTTTCTCTCTCCATAGTAGCTCATATTTATAAACTACAGTTTTGGTTGAAACGGTACAGAGTGGAGGAATTTTCTTCTGTCAGTATGCTGCTGCCAGTCATACTTCTGACTGAAAGATTCCAAAGTTTACCGTAAAAGGTAGCATAGAGCTAAGGTAGCCTAGAACATGGTGACTGACAGCTACATCACTAAACCATTTTAAGCCAAACATGGACTGGTTATGGGGATATAATGAGGCCTGCAGAGCTACTGCATGGCTTCCCATCACTGAGTTTGCTGGTGACACAGTTTTGGGGAGAAATTGAAATCTGGCTCACACAATCGCAAAGATATTTCAACCAAATTTTAAAGTTTATATAATTTTATTACTACCCATTTACTTATTTTTAATGTATAATTTTAGCACAAACCTATAAAATAAACCCAACGTTGCATTTTCATTAGTGTTTGAGTTAGCATATTTTATTAATACTCAATACACAAACCTGATGATTTAGTACTTTAAATAAATAAGCTTTATTATACAAATGAATATGGATCATGTAAGATTTATTGAATAATTAATTTGTTATTTAATACATTTACATAAATCTTAAAACTTGGATGAAATATTTCTGAGGGTATGCATAAGGTTTAGGATCCTGATTAAAAGCAGGGTAGAACCTAAGTACTTGTCTGAAGGCTGCCAGAACTTTAGTGTTTTGAATGACAGGTTTTGTCAGGTTATCAATCTCACTGGTGAATTACAGGCTGATCAAAGACGGCTTTTAAATCCTTTTCAGGCACCTGCTTGTGAAGTATCCAACATGCTGTTATTAGAAAACACTTCTGGTGGGGAGTCATGGCCTAGTGGTTCGGGGATAGAGCTTGGAATCCTAAGGTTCTGGGTTCGAGCCCCACTACCACAGACTGCCATTCTGGCTCTCTGAGCAAGAACCTTAGCCCCACACTGCTCCCCGGGTGGGCCACGATGGCAGTCCCCTGCTCCCCAATGGTGGCAGATTGGGTTAATTGCAGAGTTACATTTCTCCAATGTGAGAAAGTTCAATTATTAATTCAAATTTCTCCATCTCAGTGGATAAATCTCAGTATGGAAATATATTATTACTTTATGAACTTCAATTTGAGTTTTTCTTTCCATCACTCTGTTCATATTTGCTGATTATTGTGCTTCTTAATTGATACCCATCTTTTTAAGGTTGCAAACTCAACATCAATCATTTGCATTTTTCAGCTACATTAGCCTCCTTGTCCTCACCTTTTTTTTTTTTTTTTACATATTCCTTGTTTTAGGGTTAAAAATCAACACCAGTATAAACCATTAAGACATAAAGCCATCAGAAAAGGAAAATATGTAAAAATGATCATGTTTGCCTTTTAATATATAATTTAAAACCACAATTTAAAAACAAAGAAAAGTTGGGTGCAAACGTTTAGATTTACTGCAAATTTTATCACATTTCTACAGTGTCTAAATAATTTAAAATATATTCATTTGCAACCACAATAATATGTCGGTAAATGTTTTGTAGAGAGTTACAAAGAAACATGTTTAATGCTACAGCAGACCTGGAGAATGATGCTGCCACCACCATGCTTAGTAGTTAATGGAGTGTAGTTAATGGAGTAAAATCTTTACCAACCATCCTTCTTGTTATTGTAGCCAAATACTTTTTTATATTTTCCTCTAATCCTCATCTCATTTCCCAATGAGTTATCTGATGTGTCTTTGCAGATATCTAATTATTTCTGCTTTAAAAGCTTTAAATAGCTGATTCATGCATGGCTCCTCTTTTTATTGGCATTGTGATGTAAACTTGTTAAGAGTAACTAGTTTTGTAGCTTCTTCCAGTTAATGACAGATTAAATGCCTTGTTATTTCTGGACATTGTGAAAACTCTCCTTCAGTCTGAGGCTGGCCGTCTGGGCCTAC